TTGTTTTACTTCTTAAGTATTATTTCTGCCTTCGTAACAAATATAATGTCTTTTATCGAAGCACTGTTTAGGTTGAGAATTTGTTTATTTCGCTACGTGTTTTGAATTGTCGGCGGGAATCTAGCAAAACTTGTTATTTTAGTACAGTTTTAACACTACTGTTGCTAACAATGGTCTCTGTGAGCCATATTTACTGCAGACAAATAGCTTGTTTCCATTGCGTTTGTCTGGGTCACGGGGGATGTTGAATTTGGGTCAAATTTGTCAAAATTTGAAAGCCAACTTACCATCATCAGCCCGTGCTCTGTTCTCTGATAAAGCACGCTGTTTCAGCCAATCAGAGCGCACGTTATATGGAAACTTTATTATAATTTCAGATATGAAGAGGATTGCAAAAAAGATGATTTTCTAAAACCCAAGGTTTGTGCTTTAATATTTGCACCTTAGTAAGAAAACAAGTTAACTTTTAGTGGTCTATATTTTGATTTGTTCTTGTTTATTACTTAAGGGAATATATCAGTTGGATATCACTAACTAGCACCTGTTGTTTGGTGTCTTGTGTGTTTCGTATTTGATAGATACAGTGTACATAACTACAGGAGAAAATATATATGGGTTATTGACCAAGTGTGAGGTCAAGATGGTTGGGTATTGGATATTGGCCTTTTTTTGCGTGTTTATGGACCGAGACAGAGTTGAGGTTCATAAACTCGCAAAGAAAAGAACGAGGCCAATATCCAGCCATCTTGACCAAACAAGCTTGGTCAATAAAGGATTTATTATATGGCTATTTCGGGGAAATTTTTCTTGCGGGACATGACGGGTAGTCCCGAGCAGGCAAGATAGCTGCATCTTGCCCACTTGAGTAGCCAATCACAGTGCAGGATTTGATTCATCTTGCCTGCTCACGGAGCTGGCCATATAATAAACAGTATTACACAAAGTGTCAGGGCTAGAAAAAAAAATGCCGTCTGGGCATCCAAGATAGGTAGATTTTTCTTCCGGGCAAGTAACTTTTCATTCTCACTCGCCCAATGAACAAGAGATCAGGCAATTTGTCCACCAACTAAACCATTAAAAGAGCAAATTAATGCTTGCCCAGGGCAAGCAAAATTTGAGGGCTACTTGTCCGGAGGGCAAGCTGAAATTCAATTTTTTTTTTTTCTAGCCCTGAACTGTGTGACTGTTGAAATGTTTTTGAAATGTGAGGTGTATAGCTCTTTAAAAACTGAAAAGAATTGTCTGTGGAATTTATCAAGTACATAAGTTATGCCTAGAATATACTGGTATAATAATTTTTTGTACTTAAATTTATTATAATTTTTGTCATATTTTAAAACAAGAACTTTGTCTCTTTCTGTTCCTGTAGGGTGACTTTTCCAGTCATGATGACGACAAAGCTGGAAATAAACCAAAATTAAAGCGTGGCCTTTTTGGAAAGAGCTCCAAGAGAAAGCCCAACAGTCGACCATCATCGGAGTTTATTGCATGTGAAATGACAACTATGAGTGAAGAAGATAGAATTAATTTGATGAGAAATGTTAAGGCTGGAGAAATGAGTGTTGATCAAGCTCTCAAACGATTTATCAGGTGTGTTTTACTTTTATTTCACCTTTTTTTTTTGTTTTCTTCTTGTTTCGCCTAGTTATTTTTGTTTTCAATTTATCCCCAGTCAATAATTATTATTGACTAGGAATGAATTTAAATAAAAGTTAACTAACTAGAAGACAATTAACCACAAATTGTTGAAATCAAAAATTTAAAAGTTAGATTAAAAATTAACTACAACAAGTGTTTTGATCAGCCAATTCACTCCCAGTAGTATGTCAAGTTAACAGACATATCAAGAAACTTACCACAGAGCATTCACAATAATAATTGCTGGGTTACAGCAGAGGGGCTTACTTAAAATGAATATTTATTACCATCTTGTGTATGATATAGTCAAGATTATATTTTAACTGCTTACTTTTCGTTGCTTCTTTACTTAGCTATGAAGAAAAGCACAAGAAATCTGATTCAGATGATGTGGTAAGACCTGGAAGATTAATTAGTACTTTAATTTGCAAGAGGGTGGTAAAAGGAATTTTTGTGATCCATGAATGGTCTTGAAACCCAAGGAAAAAAACGTTGTCAGGTTCAATGGTCGTCTTACAATTGATATAATTATATGATTGACATGTTGAATTCTGGATTGAGCAGTTGAGGTTTAAGCCATTTCTGTGGTCATTTTGTTGTTTTCTTGGATGAGACACAGTGCCTCAGTAGAATAAAGGTGAGCCGTTAAGGGTACCCTGACAGAATGATGGGGTAATTTGCTTCTGGTCTTTTGTATTTAATTAATTGACCTTGACTGCAAAGCTAGTTAAAGGTCAATCCGAGGATTTTAAAATGACACATTTTGCATAGTTTTGTAAAAGTTGCAGAAATCTTTTTGTCCTTAATGCATTCTTTTTCTTATCTTTTTTGCAATCAGCCTGTAAGGGAATCACCCAAGTTGCCAAAGGGTACTGGATTTTCACGCATTAGTATCAAGAGAGTGTCGGGTGCCATTTCTTCATCCTTTAGACTCCCTAGTGTCACTAATGATCAACCGAATTCTGTGTTTTACACTGGTAAGTCAGGCAAGTGTTTACCATGAAAACTTGGAGATAAGTACCCAAACTTCTAACTGTCAACTTGGTTAAACTAACCAATTTTCTTTGTGTCTTGTATGTTAACAATAGAAGATGGTGCAAGTGCTGATGGCAGTGTGAGCTCAGGAGATGAGGTCCTGGGAACTAATGACTCATCCCCAGCCCCCTCTCCTAAGAGACTCCTGGCAAACATTCAAGACTTAAACAAGGTAATCCAAGAATGAACCTAGCTTGGAATTTAAATTGCTTTTCAGGCTGAAGGGTCTTCCTTATCCCTCTCACTGTACATACCATACATTTTCTTACTAATTAACATATATTTTGTTTTAAAAAAAAGTTAATTCACTGTAAATCAATTGACATCTGCAAATCTAAGTGCGAGCACCAGACATTTAGTTTACACAAATTATGTTTTGATTGCTGAACAACAGTATGAAAGCTAAACTGGGTACGTTTACTCACCCCATACTTTGCACATGCGCCGTACCGTGAGACCATGCCTTAAAGTTTTTCATGTTCATTTCAGTCGCAGCACAGCTCTACCAGCAGTGTGGACAGCATGGAGAAAGTGGATGAGAAACCGACATTAAGCAGTGTCCCTCCACACAGACAGCCCAATTTTATGTCTGAAATGAAAGTGGTGCTAGGAAAACAGGCTCAGCCTGTTGGTAACAAGTGCAGAGAGGGAGAAGAAGGTGCAATTTATTTGTGATAAACTATGTTTCTTACCATACTCGTCGTAACATGACTCTTGTTGAATTTTCTTTCCAGATGTATCGCAACTGAACCAAAGATTGTTTAACAACACATCCAACAAACAACATGGGAAATCTCGTCCACCTCCTCCTGACAGAAAAACTTCAGTTCCTTTAATGGAGACACAGAAGGTCGTCGTTCCCCCTAATCCTTCAGGCTCCCTCAAGAGGGTCCCTCCTGATGTTCCATCTAGACATGGGTCCACAGTGGTGGCCCCTCATAGACGGCCGCCTCCTATACCCAGTCGACCAAGTCCTAAGGATGCTGGCGAGCAGAGAAAGCCTCAGTCGTTATCAGATGAAACTGAAGCGACAAAACCTGATTCTGCAAAGTTTAAAGCTGACGAAAGTCGAAATGCGGTAGCACAAACGTCGGGGAGTTATTCAGATGAGGCGCACCTTGAGCCTGCTGAAATGCAGGCTGCAGTGATGAGAAGGCCAAGAAATAAACCGCCACCTTTACCTCCTCGCCCAACGAGTACGTCAAGCTTTAATGAAGAGCCTGACATCAGCGAGGCACGCAGTGTAGAGACTCAGACAAGTCCTCGGTCTCCCACGTCGACACAACTGAACAAGAGCTCTGAAACAGCAGCTTCTACTGAAGAGGTGTACAAAAAGCCTCCAAAACCTGAACCGATCGATAAACCACAGCTTAAACCCAAACCCAAGCCAAGACCACGCCCTAAAAGGACTCTAACCCCGGATAAACTGGATGAACCATACACAGAGGTACCCCCGCCCCGGCCTGTTTTGCGGGGATCTGCAGGGGATACACGTACTCACGGTGAAACTAGCAGGAACGAGTCGGAAACAAACGTAAACAGAGAAGAGAACAAACCCTCACATGTGAAAAGAACTGAACCGAGAGCTTCCCAGAATGGGAGGCAAGAAGACTCGAACCTCAAGCCGTCCCCAGTCCCTGCGCCGCGAATGAAGCGAGCCTCGCACTCGTTAGGGGAAATGATTGAGCGAAAACTTCATATAGAGAACATCGATTTGACTCAGGAGCCTTACACGGATAGGGTAAGTTAGATACGGGTGTCTTGCGTAAGGGTTTGGTCTACAATAGTGTAAATTATTTTGTCTAGTTCAAATTAAATGGTATAGCTGGATCCGAAGCTGGCCTTGCTAGTTTGTGGGGGCTTTTTTAGCAAACCTCTCTCTCCCCAGAGTGAGTATGGATGCCAGAGGATTTTAAAGGCAACTTAACGAAATCTCTGAGATGAGGCGATGGCGAAAAAAGAGTGGCATTGCGGTTTGGTTGTTGGTCGCTATCATTGTTGCGTAAGAGTAAGAATTGTTGCGTTTTATTGAAAAACGTTTCTTAACGAGTGTTGAAAAGCGCTGCCTCGAATAAACACTGCATCAAAATGCCGAAAAATTTAATGAACGCCGCGGCGCTTTTTCGAGTAAATGCGGTAATCTAACATAATCTTGTTGTTCAACATGTTTGATGTGTTTAGGATGGTTGCTGGGGTGTACCGGTCAATCTAGTGGATCGATACGCTGAAGAACTTCACCGACCACACGAAGAACTCGCTGCTATTTTGGAGAGAATAAGAGTTAGGAAGCTAAAGGAGTCTGAGAAACAATTTGTAAGTACACTGGTTGCATTTTGTGCCGTTTGTTTCTTGTATCAAGAGCGTTTGACCTTTGACTGTGCACTTTAAACATTAACTTGAGGATAATTTAACAACAGTAAACGAAAATGTGACGTTTGAAAAGGAAGTCTCGAAGTTAGCCTTATGTAAGAAAGTCCCTAAAAGAGAATAGCAGAAAAATGCTATTAAAATAAATGAATTACTCTGAGACTGGTTAGCCCTGGGACGCGCTCATTCATTTTTCTCACGAGTGATGAATAGCGAATTTGTCATTACAATAGAGCGGTATTCAATTGTCGAAAGTAATCAAGCATTTACTTTGGGTTTGGTTCTGGTTTTGGTTTCGGTTTTCGGTTTCGGGTTTGGTTTTACTGCAGTTTACGATCGGCTGAGTAGTCTAATTGGTAAGTTATTGGTTTGGTTTTGGTTTGACGACACTATATTGAAAACCGCTCTATCAAACACATTGTTAAAGACATTCGGGCGGCGAGAATATAGGAAATCATCTGTTGTTTTGATGCACCACAAAATTCTCAGAACGGACATATAAAGAATTATATGGGTACCTGTAAGGAGAATTCACATTTCTAGTTCGAAGTATAAATGATTAACTTGCTGCGTTTCTTATTTCTCTTGCAGGTTCAGTGTAACGTGTCAGAATTAGATTTTACAAGGGATACGCTAGGGAACCTGGGAACTCTGGACGAGTGGCTGACGTCACTAGGGCTACCAATGTACGCGAAGAGTTTAACTGAGGTGGAATGTGACAGCATGGCGGAAATGCCTTATATGGAAGAAAGGCACTTTCAATATGCCGGGATATCGGACCCGAGGCACATGAGGCGCCTTCTGGCGTCAGTTGAGGAGATGCCCAGGTGACAGGCAATAGAAGGGCATCTTGGAATTCGCACTACACGGATGTTGTGTTCGTTGGGGCTTGAGGTGCCTTTGGGGGGCCTTTGGTAAAAGGCACCGTTTGATTAACAGTTGTTATGGGTGTTAGAAAAACACCGCAAGCCGAGTTAAGAACTTGAATAACACCGGAGATCACTACTGCAGTTGAAAATATTCAATAAACAAATTCTAGTATTGAGAGTGTTTTACAAGAACATTGCAATTAAGAAATGTCGGAAAATAATACAATCTATGTAATTGCATTTAATTTAATTTGTAAATAGGCAATTTTGAATGGGAGCGGAAGCAGGCGTCGCTTGTCAGGTAGTGAAGCAATGTGAACAGAACCTTTGAAATAGTGAATGAGCGAACAATCGGGAAGTTTAATTGAATCGTTGTTAAGTTGGTGCTCCTATGGATATTGGCCGAAAAATAAACAGTCTGTTACTCGTAAAATTCGACCCCAGTGCTATGCTATGACTCGTCTTGGACAGGAAGAAATTAAGGGCTCTGGGGTCTAAAATGCTACAGATTCTTCTGCATTTTCTCAGCTGTAGAGTATTGGGAGTAAAATTATTTCATTTACGTCGTGTTACATCAACGAGAGTTACCTTTTATGAGACGTGAAAGTTGCGTATCATGTAAAAATTATAGTGTAGTGGTCTCACCTTTATTTTTCCCGTGATAGGCAATTAAAAGAGATTTATTCACCCCACCAGGGAATAAATGGTTTTATGCATCTGGTTAGTGCCAGTCTCCCAGCAAAGGGTTGGGGGGACATCCGGGTCCTTGGAAATCCTATATATAAGCAGACGAAGCCAGGCTAAAGGAGTTACAAATAGATGCAATAACATAGAGCATAAATAATCAGTGTTTAATAAGCAGAAACGGAAAATTTAAGAGTAATAGAATGTATTACTCCAGAATATATTTCACGGTGAAGTAAAATCACTCTAACATAAGCGCTAGTGAACAGTTTTGTGTCTCACTGTTTCGAATTTCAAAATTTAGGTTTTTGTATTCGTTAACTCTTACAGCATACCCCAAGATTCCTCCTACGACGGGGGTAGCCTGCAGAACAGGCGGATTAGCGAGCTGGCGCGATACACGAGCGCGCTCGCTAAGCGCGAGAACGAGCGCGGATTTTCCTCGTCTCGCGCTTCGCGCGTGCGCTCGTGTATCGCACTAGCCCGCTAATCCATCTGTTCTAGGTACAGGTACAGTGGGGTTGGGTAGTGGTGGATCACCCACCACTAGCCTCCGACATTGAGGGGAATAATTGTTTTAATACACTGATACCCAGCTAGTAGGATAGTACCCGCAAAAATTGACTCAAAAGACTGCAAAAAAGTCTTTCACGAGTAAATTTGCGCTCAAAATGTGCAACGAAACACGAAACGCCACATGATTCATCAGGTGATGAACAAGACAAATGAGAACGTTTTTTGTGTGTTTGGAGAAATTACAAGACGGTAAACAGCGGACAAGAATTTTAATCATCGTTCTGTCGAAAAGATTAGTTCAGTTCAGTCTTGATGACTTTAGCTGGTAGTTTCTGCCACTTGCTGCCCGGAAGATTTTATACATCGAAGTAAATGCAACGTTTTATTGTAGAAACTGCACTTGTTAAATTACTTCGGCGACATGATTTCTTCAAAATAAGTTGTTTTAAAAAACTTTCTTTTAATTTGAAACCATGCTTTAAGAGATTTCATAAATTTTATTGCTTTAATTTTGCTAACCTGTAAACAACACTTAAAATCCCCTTAGAGATAACAGTGTGGAATCCTTTTTTGAGGAGAGGTAAGTGGCGCTAACCGGCGAAGGGCCGCCCTCAAAACAAAAACTACTTTTTCTGTTTATCGGCCGCCTACACATTAACCTTACCTTGACAGGTAAATAATATGTTGCAACTGGTGTAAAATTTTGAAAAAAGAGATAAGATATTCACCCCTTAAAAGATGGGACAACTATCCCCGTCACGCCACATAAAGCAACTCCCTCCCCGAAAAATACCCTCATTTTAACCATCAATAAGAATCAAAACGTTGAATGCTGTGCCACCTTAATGGTCTGTTTTCACGTAAAAAGTTTGATATTTAAAATTGCAATGAACTTTATGAGCCTGTCCATGACTTGAGACTAGAAAAGTCGGTTTTTACGCGGACATCTTACTGGTAAGACATAAGCTATAGCCCGGGGGCTGGAGGGGGGGGCTCCCATATAA